TTAAGCGTAGTATTACACTTAATCAGTTAATTGCCACTTACTACGCTATTTACTTTTCGTCAATTACCATTCTCATATTTCGAGCCATTTATTTTCTAGCACATACATATAACTATATCATGATTCATGTGTATGGAATAAAAAAAAGTCACCACACCATTGCCAATCCTCTACGCTCTCAATCCATCGATTCACCACAAAATCTCACCAAACAAACCTCAAACACCAGATTTAGACGAACACAACCATTCCCTTCAAAATCTCAAATCTCATAGTCGTTAATTTATGACTAAATCACCTACTAAAGCCAGACCCCAATCCCAAACTCGGGACCATTAATCACAAAAAAACCCTATTCTAGTTAGATCCACCATAGGTTAATCGAAATAAAAATCAGAGCAGGGAGAAACCTCACAGATCTGGCCTCTTTCCAAACCTGCGAAAATAAGAAAAGTAGGGGTTAGTATTTGGATAAAGCAAAGAGAGTAGAATCGAAATCGAAAAAATTACCCTTTAGGCTCACCGTCGTTTGTCTATCGATCTAGTCACCGCCGGCGACTCCCTCGTCCACCATTAAACCCAGAAGTCAAAAGAAATACCAGGAAATGGGTTAGAACCATGGTTGTCATGTCGGTGGCATGCCACCCGGTTGAACCTGGTTCAACCTGTGCCGGTCATGTAACCGGCATGACTCCACCGATATGACCGGTATGATCGACTTACGCATTCTAAGTTTAATGACATCATTTTAATCAATTTAATGAATAAAAAAATTAATTTATTATTCATTTTATGAATATAATAATTAAAAGATGATGATATTTGTTGGATTGTAACTAAATTGTCCACAAATATGTTTTATATATGATTAAATACATTGGATATTAATTGTTTTCATATTTTTTTAAACCGGCATGAACCGGCACAAACTGGTTATACCACCGGTTGTACCATTCCACTTGCCAAACCGGCACAACGGTATAAACCGGTTTGACAACCTTGGTTAGAACCCTAAAAATCCCCAACTCACAATGGCACAAGAGTTAACATGCAACCAGAAACTCACCACTGAACCCTGTTTCACCGTCGTCGCGATATAGAACGACGAGAGAGAGAGGAATCAGAGTGAATCGGTGCTTCTTTCTTCCATCTTTGCTTGATTACCGGAGAAACGAAAGATAAGAGAGGCTGGATCTTGAGGGTTTCGTTCTTTTTTCGGTTGTCGATCGGTTTTTAGGAGAAGGGAAAGAAAGAAACGAAAGAAAAGAGAAGATGGGGGCGCCGCTTAAGGTTTAAGATTAAAAGGGATTAGGGTTTTCTCAGTTAAGCTCACTTATATACCTTTGGCATCCATCTAAATGACTGATCTACCCATCCCATCCTTAAGTTGGCAAAAAAAATGTTTCTTTCAAGAGTTCGAACCGGCGACCTTGATCTCTCAGTGGAGATAATCAAACCACTAAGCTACAACATAATCTTTCCATCTTTAGGCCCTCGTTTGTTTTTATCCTCAATCAATCTTAATACGTAATCCATTAAAAGTCTTAGAAATCTCAACCTAGTTACATAAAAATCTCCTAAGTCTATTTTCCCACTACTTCCTTACCCATTTGTATATAACATTAAAATAGCCTATTACCCGGCCCGTTGGCCGGATTATTGTATGTTACCCACTTGTTGAATAGGAGAGAAAGCAAGTGAGAGTGAAGGGGTTGGGATTTCACTTGATTAGGACCGACTCACTAATTCGATTCTTCCCGACCCGCCCCAACCTAAAGGGTCAGAAAGAGTCAATAAGAAAATACGAACGGAGAGGATTAGTCATACTCATATATCTTGACTCTTCAGAAGTGGGTCAAACAGGATCAAGGTTGGGTGAGGGAAATTTTTAGGGCTAAGCAGAGTTCTGGGTTGAATAACTTTACTTAGGCCTAGAAATTGGTGCTGATGCAGACTGCAGTTTTTATTATGCCATCATCAATCATCATTGAATTAGTCCTGGGCATCCCTCCCCGTTGTTGGTCTGAATTATAATGATGGCTTCGTTCCTTGCACCAGCCATATCAGCGAGTTGTCATCTCGAGCATGATTTGCCTATGTACAACATAATCTTTCCATCTTTAGGGCCTCGTTTGCTTTTATCCTCAATCAATCTTAATACGTAATCCATTAAAAGTCTTAGAAATCTCAACCTAGTTACATAAAAATCTCATAAGTCTATTTTCCCACTACTTCGTTACCCATTTGTATATAACATTAAATAGTCAGTAAAATGAAATCATGGTTGATAGATCATGGTAAATTTTTTATGGTGGAATCTTTTCATAATCATTAATCAATGGAGACCAACTAATTATAACTTTTCATTTCTCGAGATGTATGTCAATAGACGTAAATCTCATCGTATGTCAATAGCATACGAAATTTGCTTTAACTCAATAGTCCAATTGGACTTTAAAATACACCATAGATAATTAAAACACCCAACCCTTGGAAACTTATCGATTTAGGGCGTTGTGGGGCGTGAATACACTTCCCCACACGTAACCGTACTCCCGAACCCAAATCGCTATAATTTCGCAGGCCAAATCCCGGTTTTGACCCTATGGTCGAGATGGATCCAATTAGTGTTCGGCTCACTACTTTTAAGGTCGATGGTGACTCCGAGAAAATTCGCGAGCGATCCCGATTTCGAGGGGCGGTTGCGACAACTGCACCAAAACGAGAATCAACAAAAAAAAATGTAGGTAGCGGGTTTCGAACCCGTGTCCTCAGCAACAAATGAGCTCTCTGATTGGCAACTTAACTAGTTGGGCTGCTGGCCCATCATGCGTAATTGTAATCATCCCTTTAAATTTTATTCGTTTAAAATCATTAATACGAAATGCTGAATGCGGATTAAGTTTCCTTTGTTTCTTTTCTAATACGTCAAAATACTTCCTAATAACTAAAATCCTTGCATTTATTGTCACAACATCACAACAATCTAAATGAAGTTTTATTAAAAGAAATTATAATACTAGAACCACGTTCATTGGAACGTGGTAAAAGTTATAGTTAAAACGATCAAAGTTCCTAACGAACTACATGGACTTTGATCTCGTCTAACGGGTACGTAGGAAGCCGATAAGGTTCGAGTCCAACTAATCAACTAACTTTATCTTTTAATTTTATGTCGGTGGGCGTATAATTTAATTACAACTAATACGATTTAAATTCTTTAGTGGTCCAGTAAGGCCCTAAAAATACCTAATAATAAACTAACACGTCAATGGACGTTTAGCTAAATTATACCCAATGAAATAACAATATAGTAATGGTCCATTGGGATTTTAAAAATACATAATTACTAAAATACACCCAACTCATACAAAAACTTATTAACTTAAGTAGCACTGATTTAGGGCGTTGTGGGGGTGTTGCTTAACTTCCCGACACGTAACCGTACTCGCGAACCCATATCTCTTAATCGCAGACCATGTCCCGGTTCTGACCCTAAGGTTAGAACCGACCTAAGAGTGTTCGATCCACTCCAAGTAAGATCGATGGCGACTCCCAAAAAGCGAACGCGACGACCCCCGGAGGGACGGTTGCGACAGCACTGAAATACCCGACCAGGTATATGATAAGGAGGTGACCGGGTAAAAGGCATTTTGGAGGCCAAAGAAACAGAAGGGGTCCCGGCCAGGAGGCTTAAATAACAGATAGGGTATTCTAAACCTCGATCGGGTATTTACCCCTTTCCCGTGCACATCGTTTTAAAATACACGACCGGTCACCTGAAATACCCGACCAGGTATTATGGCCGGGTATCGCGATCTGTCTTTTTCAAGGAAAGAAAGCCTCATTTGAAGTGGATCCGATTTTTAGAGAAAAAGGCAGAAACCTAGAGAGAGTGACAAACAAAACTTCCAAGCACTAAATCGATCTTCAACATCATTGGAGCTCGGTTGAAGTTTGGAGAAGTGACGATTGATTGCCAGAAGCTGCTTATCATACTTCACAGAATGATTTCCGCATCTGACTTGATTTCTCTTCTCTTTCTATGGAGTAAACTTTCTCACTCACCTGGGTATGAAGAACCTTAGATTTGTATGTTAGGTTTGGTTTTATGAACCCAAGTACATGTTCTTTGATATCGATTATATTCAATTGAAGCATGGTTTTCTGAATTGCATGAATCGTGATCAAATTCCTGTAGTTCCTACTTTGACCTAGAAAGAGAATATATGCCTAGGTTGATAGAGCACCCTCAATTGAAGATAGTGAATTGACGACTTTAGTCGAGGAGTCAATTCACTGTTCTGTACTGGATTTACTCCAGTAGAGGAGGTTTGGTATGTTAGGGCCTTAGTTTGTCTACTCCGGTGGAGGTTAGTCGCCCGTCGGGGATTCAGATCGAGAGGGTCTGGAGACCTTTAGTCGAGACTTCAGACTGTCTAAGAACCTTCCGCAGTATAATTATCATTGAATTTGGACTTGGTAATTTACAACTTGGCTTACCTGCAGTTTAGGGGGAACCATATCTGGGTGACCTCTCTCAAACTTGGAACACAACCTTTGCTGCTTTTGTTTGCTAGTTTAATTGGAACTTCACTACAGTTGAACACAATTTGGCTTCCCCATCTCGTCCCGTCCAAAGCAAACTATTGTTTATGAATTAATTAATTTATTGCACCAATCTGTGGACGCCATGTGGAAGGTTGCATTGGTGGGCTCCTGTATGGGTTGCAGCCAAATTCTGCCCTTTAATAATTGACATAAATACAATGTAGGAAAAGATTTAGGGTTGAAAGTGTCATTTGAGGTTGATCCGTACTCGGTTCGACTATGGTTCATGGAGTTTGGACGGAAAACTTAACATAAGGTATGTTTGAGAACATGATTATAGTAGAAGGGCAAATTTGCCTTAAAAAGTAATAAAGTGGTATGTTTGAGAAAATACAATAATAGAAGGACAATTTATCCTATTAACCCTAACATGAAATAAGGATAATACTGAATTAAAGAACGTTTTACTCATATTTCCAATTTCACGATTCAAGACCAACTAAAACAACACAACGAGCAATCCCATTGCGAGCATTATATGTAAAACACGATTATCACTTCCTCGATACTTGGCCACAAGATGTTGAGAATAAGAGGAAGAAGAAGAAGGTGAAGGGCAAGAAAGGCCTTTTTTGCCTTCTCTACATTCATTGGCGAAAAGTCCCGGCGGATATAGACCATAGATGTTGATGTAGCTGAACATGATGGATGCGCAATCGTTGGACACCTCGTTCAGCAATTCTGCATAAGGGCACGCAAAGTCCTTGAACGCAGGGCAGCATTCCTCGGGTTGGTACTCTGGTCCTCTGCATCGGCTCGTGATGTCCGTGTAGTTCATGTACTCGAAGTTTGCTGGACAGGCTGCAAAATGTAACCAACCCATCCATTTCAACAATCTCCACATCCAAATCTCCCAAAACTCCGACTCAATGGAGGGAAGAAGATCCAAAACCTTTTTTGGCTTGGAGAAGATTCCTATTGCCAGCATGAGATACAAAGACACCATCTGGATAAAAAAGCAAACAAAGGACAATCAACAAGAAGAAAACAGAGTATTACACTGTTAAGAGTGAAAAATGAAAAACAGAGTACCTGAAAGGTAAGTGGAAGCAGAGGAGTGGGAAACCACAAAGAGGCTCATCAAAAACAAGAGGAACCCACGTTTCCAGTACCAGCCCCTCATCTCCTTACAAGCAAATTAATGGAATTCGGTGATCTCGTCAAAAACCAGTTCTTCTCAGCGACTGGAAATCGCTATTCTTTCCCTCAACTTTTGTGACTGAGGAAAAGGAAGAAATGGAGCGATTGATCAGGAGCAAAAACTAAGCTACAACACAAGACATGAAACAAAGAGAACGTAAAAAAAGCTCAATTTACTTTGTCTCTTTTCCTTTGTTTCAGTTTTCTTCAATACTACTGTTTAACAGATGAATTCAATGCTGTATTTGCCAGTTTTCCATCAGTTACTACAAATGAGACAGAGAAGAAGGTGGGAGTTGGGCAGTTATATTCCCCAATTTTGGAGGGATACATCACCGTTGGTCAATTATTGGAAGGCTATTATTCACCGACTATTCATCACAAATTTTGGTCAATTTTTGGAAATGCTATTTTTCACCGATTTTGATTTTTGAGGCATACATCACAAATTTTGACTTATTTCTATTATTCACCGATTTTGAAGTTTATCAATCACGGATTTTGGCCGATACTTTGTATGGTATAATTCACCGATTTTGAAGGCTACTTGATACAACATACGAGCATAGTTGTGCTTGTTTAAGATCAAAGCGCGCAACTCAATTCCCCCTCGAAGAAGGCTTGAACTTTGAACAAACTTAAAACGAAAAACGGACCCAAAGGTGCAATCTTTCACGTGGAAGAAGGCTCGATTGGTTTGGAATGAAGCTCGGCCACGATTGATGGGGTTTCAATCGATACGAAGCAAACTTGTTCCTGATTCTCAACCAGCACACAAGGATTTGGTGACAAAGTCACAATTTTCCATTCAATCTTCTCTGTCTTGTACACGAGGCTTTCAAGCCCTTAAATCAACACGTCAAAACCTAATTCTAACTCTAAACAAACAAGGAAATCGAGATCCAAGGCTAACTTAACAAGGAAACATAATTCTACTTTGAAAAGGAAACAAAAACCACGTTCTTCCCACACAAGCTTCTGCCTTCCTGCGCAAGCAATCATGTCGACCTCCCTAGCATCTTTGAAGCCCTCGTTCATGGCCTTCCAAGGATCAACGACCCAAACTGGCTTCATTCGTTTACTCTCCTGATCCCATAGCTTAAGTTCCAACTCTCCTTTTCCATCGACGATGCCCCAGTTGCATTTATTAAGCCTCCAAAGATGGTATCTCACACCAGTTCCAGACTTGGCCAATAAAACAGACAGTTCCTAGTTTGCCATAGCAACTTGAGGCTTCTTGATAAAGTACCTAGGATCCCTAATTCGTGCATCCAACCATTCGACATTGTAAATAAACACTTGAACTTCACTTCCACTCCTTCCTTGTGCATTTCCATCGATCAAAACGTAAGATACGAATATGTAAAGTAAGCACCATGATACAGTTCGTATACTTAGCCAAATTCGACCTTTCTTCCATCTAACGTTAATGGATCCTTTGGAATTCAATTCGAGCTTCAACAAGAGGCTAAATAGGATCATATCACTATTCATCTTAGATTTTTTCCAATTTTTTTGAATGCTATTATTCGCCAATTTTGGAGGGACACATCACTCATTAGGGTCAATTTTTGGGAATGCTATTATTCAATGATTTTGAAGGCTATCCATCACAGATTTTGGTCTGATTTTTAGGATGCTATTTTTCACCGATTTTGAAGGCTATCCATCACAAAATTTGGCCGATTCTTTTGAATGATATTATTCACTGATTTTGAAGGCTATCCATAAGAGATTTTAGTTGTTTCTTTTGAATACTATTTTCACTGATTTTGAAGGCTACTTGTCACGTATTTTGATCGATTCTTTTGAATGTTATTTCCGCCGATTTGTAAAGCTACCCATCACATAGTTTGACAGATTTATGGGAATGTTGTTTTCACGGAATTTGAAAGCAATCCATCATAGAGTTTTTTGGATTTTTTAAATGCTATTATTAACCTATTTTGAAGGCTATCCATCACAAATTTTAGCTGATTTTTTTAATTCCATTGTGTACTGATTTTGAAGGCTATCCATAACATATTTTGACGTGTTTTTTAAGGCTATTTTCACTGATTTTTAAGACCATCATTCTCAGATTTTGACCAATTTTTGGAAATGTTATTATTCAAAGATTTTGAAGACTATCCATTTCAGATTTTGTCCAATTTTTCTTAATGCTATTTTCACGAGCTTTTAAATCTATCCATCGCTAGTTTGAAGTATACCCATCACAAATTTCAACCTATTCTTTGGAATGCTATTATTAATCAATTTTGAAAACTATTCATCACATATTTTAGCCAATATTTTGACTATTATCACCGATTTTGAAAGCTAACTGTCACAAATTTTGACCAATTTTTTTTAATGCTAGTAAGACTATCCCCTCTTCTTTTCTGGATTCCTATTTAACGCCCTAATATTTTAAAATTTTTGACCTAAATTAACCAATTAGACGATATTACCCCAATTTTTAATAACAGTCACCCCCAATCCCTAATCCCTAGTTTTGCTTTGTTCATCGCCGGCGGAAGGATATGTTTTTCTTTGTTCGTCGCCGGTAGCTCATGAAGACACCAGCGGATTCTTCACCCACGCCCCCAATCCATCACCCTCAATCTGCTCGTCGCGCGGCTGCTCTGCTGCGTCCCATCTCCGTCGCCAGGTCTGGCGCTGTGTCGATCGAGGACGTAGAAGAGACAAAGGAATCTTACCACGCAGGCCACCTCTGCTACTGTTGGGTTCTGCTCCGCCGGGATTAATCGTCTGCCGATCGATGGTTTTCGGAGGAGGAAGAAGGAACCACCCCGCCGGTTCTGTTGGGTTCTGCACAGTCGAGGAAGGTGGGTCGCAGGTCGGGTGGAATTTGGGGATGGGATTAGGGCGATGGCGGTGACGACGAGGCAGACCGAGTAGCACTCCCTACCGCCGTGAGGAATCCCTAGGTCGAGCGGCGTAGCGGAAGGAAGTTGCGGCGGCGACGGTGAAGACTCCCATGGGAAAGACGACTACGGGGAATAATTCTAGGGAGAAGGTTTGTTAGAGACTGGGAATAAAAAATGGGACAAAAATGTCAAATTGAAAAATTAGGGCGATAAATTTTAAAAACCTAGAGCGTTAATTAGTAACTCCCCTTCTTTTGCCCCATGATTATTATTACACCGAATAGAGTTACATAAACTTAATACGTTATACGTACCCCTTTTGACCAACCCTTTTTAGAACTTAAGTCATGGATCTTCGAGCCGTCCATAGTGGAGGGTTCATTGCAGATTGCTTAGCTAGACGAGCACTTCTACTATACTTTAAGGTATTGGTATTTTAAAGTACAACTTAAACTTGTACTATAACGTTAAAGATACAAATTAAAGTTGTACCATAAGAAAATTTGCACCTTTATGTTAATGTACAACATCAAGTTTATATTATGATATAACTTCAATTTGTATAATGTTAGATACAAATTGTAGTTGTACCATAAGAAAATTTGAACTTTTATGTTAATGTACAACATCATCAAGTTGTATGTTATGGTACAACTTCAATTTATATCATAACATAGATGTGCAACTTTAATTTGTACTATAAAAGATTTGTACAAAAGAGTATATGTACAACTTCAGGTTGTAGCATAACATTAAATGTACAACTCCAAGTTGTACCATAAAGACAAAAACTAAACCACCAATATTTTAAAACATGGTACAACTTCAATTGGGTGATAACACGGAGTTTATACAATTTTATACCCACATTTTCATGCAATTTATGCTTGTCATTAATATATTTCTTCCTATTCTCTTAATGTTACACTTGATCTTGTGTGTGTTTGTGTTTCGGGATATTTAAAATCATATAAAAGAAAACATATCCATATGACTCTAATCATCAAGATCGGATATTGTCAAAAAAAATAATCATCAAGATCGGATCATCTCGATACAATTCCACCGCATCCACTTCATTTCCCTACCAAGCAGGCTGGTCAAGCAACTGAAGAAGGAAATTAATCGGAAATGAAAGCAAGCAGGTAGGGGTGGGCAACGGGAAATGGCTATTTGGGTATACCCGTACCCGCCCCGTTTTTTAAGGGTTACGGGTACCTATATTACCTGTAATATTATAAATGAATGGGACTTGGGATTGTACATTCCTAATATGGGTACCCGCGAGTTACCCGCGGATACCCGTTTGGGTAATATGGGTACCCGTTATACCCATTCAATACAAATGCAGCAATTTAATTCAACCCAGCCCAATTCAAAACCCATTGGCCATTTCGGCCCTTACCCTTTCAATTTCAAATCCATTTGGGCCCTTACCCTTTCACTGACATGTTTGGTGAATTAGTAGAGAGAGTTGGGATGTGTTTGAAATGAGGCAACGAGTGTCCATTTACGGTCTGGGATCATTGTGTACTTAATTAAGGAACTTGGATCATCTCAATATTGCTCCTAATTATTCTTCTTTGCAGGACAAAAGCAATTGAAGGACAGTTGCAGCTGCAGAAGGGAGAATGACAGCAACAGCCTACAGAAGGGAGAGCGGCATCAGCAGCAGCAGCCTGGAGAAGGCAGAACTGCAGCAGCAACAACTTTCAGAAAGTAGCAGCATGCCTCCCATTTGGTTGTGTTGAATGAAACTTCTTTTTTGATAATTTGGTGTTTTGAATGATTTATTTCTATGTGTTGTGATTGTTCATGAATGTGTAATTTGAAAACCAAGTATTTGTGATTGGGATGTATTTTGTGTCTTGTGATTGTTAAGAAAATACAAGTTAAGTTTAAACTTTTGTTAAAATTTTAGTGGTTTAAACTTTGGGTATTTATGGGTAGTATTGGTACCCATTATCCGTCCCGTACGGGTAATGGGTACCCGTTTCCCATATGGGTTTGGGATATGGGATGGACTTTGGTCTCCAAATGGGACTGGGTACCCGTTAAAAACGGGACGGGTATCTCGTCCCGTTGCCCACCCCTACAAGCAGGTGGCCATTAGTCTGTGGACATGAATGAAACAAGTTGATTAAGTGACTCGCTCAAAACTACACCGCGAATTATATTCCGACTAGAGTCCAAGTTTTTAAACTCTAGCTGGGTGCTCTATAGGGCAAGTATTTAATTGTCAAACCTGGGCCGGTCCATATACCCCTATTTCAATTGCTTAAGTTGTTATCTAGCAAAACAGTTTTGGGTTTAAAACTAAGAAAACTACAAACTAAACAAGCAAGGAAAGTAAATGGAGGAGAATTCTACTCGAGAGGACTTCACCCGGGTATTGCTCCCCCTAGTCTCATGCTAAGAAGAGACAAACAAAGCTCTAGTGTGAAGGATGTGTTCATACACAGCGAGGTGGGTGCAAATAGCTAGGAACAAACTCCCTTAGTCGATCAATGAAGGAAAATCAACAAATATAAGCTAGGAGAACTAGCTCCCTTAACCGTTAGGTTAAGGATTGTGATTCATAGCTAGGGAACCTAGCCCTCTTCACCGATCAACCAAGGAGATCCCTAAATCTCTTAGTTAGCTAATCGAGAATCGTTGCCACAAGTTAGAAAGCTAACTCACTTAACCTTTCGGCTAAGGGTGACAACGATAGGCTAGGAAACCTAACCCTCTCGACTAGCCGACTAAGGATTGCAAACCGAACCCTCGGAACTTAATCCGGTCGACGGAGAGACCAATATCGGTGGAATCACGGCCCTACTCCAAAACTTGAGATTTTGGTCTTAAATCGGCCTAAAGGAGGTTACCCAAGTGGCTAAGAAGTCTAGCTTCCTATTGGACCAAAAGGGGATTTCCACCCTCTAGGTCAATTTTACCCAATATTGAGTTAAAGCTAGCACACTCAATCATTCATGAATAATACCTCAAACTTCATATAAAACACTCAATCAACAGAATAGGTTCATGTTCTTACATCCTAACACATAGAGAGACTAGGATTCACAATACCCAAGTGAGTAGGTAAGCTATTTCATAGCTAGAGAAGAGAAAACAACAAAAGGGGAAGAAAGAACCATGAAGTGATGCCAATCTTTCCTCCTTGTTGCTTGAGACACCCTTGAGATGAAGAAATCTTCAATCCTCTAGCTAGAAACAAGCCCAAAGCTCCTTCTTCCTCCTTTGATTTGCACTTTCTCACTCTAGAAGAAATCCTAACCTCTCACTAGAATCCTCTTTACTCTGAAAAATGGAAACCTACCCTAAAATGAAGCTCCCTTCTTCTTTCTTTCAGCTCTCCATTTATACTGAGATCGCACCCAGTTCACGGCCGTGAACACCTAAACGCGTCCGTGAACTCAGTGTCGTGGCCAAAACGCACCGCTTCACTTCCCGAGGTTCACGGTTTGTGACTTATCGCCAGTAACCTCTGGAACCCCCCTGGACGCCTTGATGTTCACGGTTTCTGGTTCCAGTTCATGATCCTGGAGATCGTGAACTCGCAGCTCTGACCGTGAACTGCGGCTGGTTCCTGGACGCCTGCGCTTCACTGTTACGGGGAAATTGTCATGGTCTTTGGACTTTTCTTCATTTTTTGTGCTTTTTGACCTCCAATCATCCCGAACTCGTCCTTGACCCTTCCACACGTGCTAGGACCTGAAATGTATCAAAACAAGCACAACCGAGCTTGGACCTGAATCATTAAGCTAACAGTTGGGGTAGCTGGCGGCAAGCAGCCTTCGACTGGGAAGATGGCACAAGTAGCCTTCGATTAGTTAGCTCACTTGAATTAGCTAAATCTTTCTGTATCCTCATATTTATATTTTCGGAGTGGAGTCTGGTTTAGACGATTAGTTAGCTCACTTAAGTTAACTAAGTCCTTCCGCCCTTTCGTCCAATTAATAAAGAACCAAAAACGCGTTGTTTGAAAAGGTGGAATCCTCGATAAAATTAAAGATCCCAACTCTTTTAAAACGATTTAACTAACGAATTTTTGATAAATTAAAATCTTTTGTGTTCGTTTATCTTGTTTCTTAATGGAGGAGAGACCCTCCATTTAGAAAATTGTTGGAAGACAAAGTCGTCTAAAGATAGCACTTCGGCTCCTTGATCGTCAAACACAAGAATCATTCAGGTAAATTTCATGAGAAATCGGGATTAATTTGTGTGGTCCATCTTGAATGTAATTTGGGTCTTCATCGATAAACTTTCAATTATTTAATATGACGTGAAAATCGAGATTAATAATTGGAAGCTGAATGAATTTATTGGTATGAAAATACATGGATTCATGTTACAAATTACGATGGGATGAAATTCATCTATAAACTTGTTATTTAATTAAGTTAATTCGGGATGAAACATCGAGGGGAAAACCAATTCAAACAACCATAAAAATATATTGCATGTTAATTTGCTGATTTTGTGTATAATTGCTAGATGATTAATTTGAGATCTGAATCACTATTCACTTTCTGTATTATCTTTGCATGCACTTTTAGCGACATCAGTGGGCGGAGGTACTGTTGGATGAACTAGATTCTACATTCGTTACTCCTTATTTTTTCAAATGGGCACAACATTACTTGGCGGGACGGAGTCAAATCGTTAGCCTGTCGATGTTGTAACACCCATACAAACTTTAAAATATTCACAAGATCACCAGATCATACCGGTTAAAATCTTTCACAAACCCGTTTAGTTTACAAACCAAACCATAATTTACCTAAGCTTTTGAAAATTCAGAGTACAGGACAATAGAGAAGATCATCTTCTCTCAAAATACTATAAACAAGTCATGTCGGAGTCGGAGTCGGAGTCCACCATCCCACCTCATGGATGTTGAGCTAAGTCTTGCTGAGTTCCCTTGACTTCTAGCCCAAAACTTCTAACCTGGGAAACAATTTTGACGGGGTGAGACGTCACTCAATGAGTAAAAACTAACCTACCGATGATATCAACACAAACACGATAACTGAGTGAAGTCAAAACCCCCTTTCTTATCTCTATTTCCCCAAGATTCACATTATCTCATTCACATGGTCATTGCATTCCACTCATAAAACCATACATAGTCCAGTGATCGATTATGCATACATACACACATATACACACATTGAAGTTAACTAGACTACATGTCTTTTAGCCTTTATTTTTCCAGGTCATGCACTCCCCCAGGTAGAACCAGTAGATGCGTAAAGCATCGCCAATTGATGCGTGAAGCACCGACAATAGATGCGTAAAGCACTGCCCAATAGATGCCTTAGGCACTGTCAATAGATGCATAAAGCACCTCCCAATAGATGCATTAACATCGCAAACAACTAGGCCTGGTATCGCTCTCCAAGAGAGCTAGGCTTATAGCCATTAATCTAATATATATAGAGAGAGTGCATGACAAGGCACCATTATGTTTGATTTAGGTGATCAAGCAATTCTTCTGTTGTTAGTCACACAATCATATTACACACATACAAGCCCTTAATACTTAATCTCAAACAATAAATCAACCAATCATTTACATAATTTCGCCTTTACGGCTATCCGATACCAATTAATTGCCTTTTTGGCTTTCCAATACCATATGGTCACCTTTCTAGCTAGCCAATACCATCCAATGTCACATCATCGCAATATAGGCCATCCGATGCTATGTCATGACAAAAACATATCGTAAAGCCCATTCAAACCTCACAATCTCAATCACAGACATCAAAACATCATCTCATAACATTCCATACAAGCATGACAATACATTATGTATTCAATAATAGTACACCGTCACCTAAGTCACGCCATCACATTAATAATTTATCACAAAACCACACATATGATAATTTCATCCCACTTAATGATCATTCAACCATTTTTATCATTAAATCACATAACCTTGCTAATTTTACAAAACATCAGTTGCAGAGGCACAATATAAATTTGCAGAGGCATACACAATATCAACCCAACAAAATGTCTTTCCATATTTCATCTACCATTCATGCATTTCCATCGTCATGCCATCAAAATGAAGTCAATCTTTGACTCTTTATCACATTCACATTTCATATACTCAGGACGTTTCATGACTCGAGTACCATATTCGTATTAATATGGTTGATAGGTTAAGATTTACTCATAGTTTGATCGCTAATCTGCAAGTCCTTTGCCCTTTGAGGACTCCCTGGCATGCTCCTTACCTTTAATCAATCCATATAGGCACATTTAATCAACCAAATCAAATAGAGAAATCATATGAATGCATATGGGTTAGAATGCATCGAAGTTTCTAAACTAAAACACTTCTTTAGCCAAAATAGGAAAAACACGGCCTCTATGGTCACAAACCTGGCCGTGTTTTTAGAATCTAGAGGTCGGCTTTTTAGGAAGTGTTTCCGGAAGATTTCTCCCCAGAATTACAGGCTTAATTGGTCAAAAGTCAAAACCCAACCATTTTTAGGCCGAATTTTTAAAAAGTCTTCATGGAAATCACTACCCCGTTTATGGTTTTGGCCATTTCTCCCTCAATTCTCAACCAAATCGATTGATTCTTTTTCTTACTTAAACTAGATTCATAGGGCTACAACATATCAAAATTTCAGTCCATTTTGAGTTTTGGTAGGGAGTCGGCACTCAATTCAAGTGAACCAAAAAACCCGATTTTGAAACTTCCATCACTTTGAACCCTAACCACCTCTAACCTTTTTCCTCTAGCTTCTAACATACAGAAACATGATTTCTAACATGTTTTCAAGTAACAAATCCATATTTTTCTCTCTAGAATCATTTATAGGACAGGGTTCTATATTGGAAAAAGAAAGAAGATGATGCAACCATGGTTTCTTACCTCTTCGAGCTCTCCCCTCCCAACTTGCCTTAGCTACCTTAAGTTCTAGGTTTTTGGGGCGATGGAAGATGGTGGTGCTAGGGAGGTGGTGGTGGCGGTTTGAAAAAGAAAAGAAAGAAATAAAAGATGAGAAAGAAGGGAGGCAGAGGGCAGATTTTTGTCTCCCCAAAATCCCTCTAGAACACTCTTCTTCTCCAATCATAAACCTCCACTTGGCACCCAATTACCATTCACTCCTCCAATTTCTTTTCCTCCACAAGTTCAGTCATCAAAGCTTGAGAAACCACCAAATTAGCTTAATAATCTCTTCTAAATTGTCATAATCATTCCATTCCCGACTTAAGAGGAAATACGATTATTCTATTCATTAATGACGTTATTATAATAAACTTGTGCTTATGAGGGTAAGGATGTTAAAGATGTTCATTTGCTGGTCCTTGTGGAAGAACAACAATATGTGTGTTTTTTAGCAAAAGCCGGCATCGACGGCTAGTCTTGTTAAGGGTATCAAGACTCTCTATCAACAAACAGACCAAGCATTCAAGAAGGCGACATTAGTCATGGGAGTCCTACCGGAATGTATTATGACTTAATCGGAACTCAGACCCCATTTAATTAATGTATAAGGATTAAAGCGTCCCGTAGGCTTTGTCTTAAAAAAATAAAATAAAGCATGGTAAAATTCCTCTACCTAGACGCGGAACCATAATAGTACTTTAGTAGAAGTGTAGAACCCGACCCGTTCTATCAACCCACTAACGTTATCCCGCTTCGCCGGCTTTCCTTCTGGAAATCAAACTGCTTATTTCCCAAGACTCCATTTTCTCTAAATCTCAACTGCTTCTTCCTCGACCGCCGGGCCGTGGCGGCTTCGTTCATCGACTGAAGTTGGGCGAAATCACTTTCCTTTTCCGGTTCGAAGAGGGAATGGTCCTAGTTTCTTGGCTAACGAGATTACTAAACCGGTAACGAGCTATTCTTGGAACCCTTTGCTGCTCAGTGAGTATCACTTCATCTTGCTACTACGACTCTCCTTTCTTCCCAGAATAAAGTCACCTGCTTTGAGCTAGTTTTGGAGTTCGAATGAACAATTTATTTGGTTCCAATGATGAACACTTTCTTAGGGATTTGATTCGTTTGATTTTGGTTGACGTTACTGAAAATCTGGAGAGACTGTTGTTTCACGTTTACGGTTGTGGGTTTGATTGTTCATTGTTCGTTGCTGACTTGCCACTATGTGAGTTCCAATATTCACCTTTTGGGAATTGCAAGAACTTGGTTATTGAAAATTTTCATTGGATTTCTCTTGAATTGAATGTTAGTTAGCTCAATGTCTCTCTTATCTTGAAGTGTTTAATTTAATCTCACCTTACTGACAAACATTTTGCTGACTGGTGATGATCACATATGCAAGTTGTTTAGTTACTGCTTGAAAGATGAGGTTTTTGCATATCAGTGGATAGCTGAGCCCCTATCGTTTTGGTTTCCTGCAGGTTTTTGCATAAATAAACTTAGTGCTGCATAAGTTGAGGGATAATGTCATTCTGCATTCAAGCAAATCCATGCCTACCTAATAGTACCCAGCTTCAGTTGCCCCGGGTAAACAAATCATGGAGCAGTCTATCACCACTGAAGTTTTTGAGACCTGCTGCTAAAACTTCAACATGCTTTTCTTTTGCACTTGGCTTGAAGGTTAGACAGCTCAACCTTGCCGCGAAGTACCCTAAAAAATCCCTTGTCTGCTTACTTGGGGGCAAGGACAAATCTGATGGAGAAAATGAGGTATTGCTGATTAGGTGTATAACTATTGTTGGAATGGAAGAATTAGCTTATTAGATGTATAATTTTGATTCTAGTTCTCATGAATATTAATTGTGCCCAATGTTTGTGTAAGAGTTGACTGCCAAGTCAAGTGCATTGTACTTGAGGTTAGTCAAAAGTTTTTACTCTAATGGGTGGGAGGTAGGGGATGACAAGTACTTGTCCTTCTGGAGTTTCTGAGGAAAAATCGTTGCAACTTTATTGTAATGTGTGGCTTCTGATCATGGCTCTATTGCTTCTATGTACTCTATAAGTGTTCATATGCTTTTCCTTTAACCATTAACTCTGCAATATCAACATTTTGGTCTGCATTAAGTGGAAGGATCTTGTTTGAATTGAGACACATGGTCTTTTAATCTTCTTTTCATTCGCCAGGACACCCTGATGACGAATTCTGTGATAAACCTCTCTATTGACACCAGGGATCTCCTTTGAAGTCTCTTGAAAATGCTTTCGGAAGTTTCCAGGGGAAATCAGTAGAAGATGTGCTGAAGGAACAGATGCAAAAACAAGAGTTTTACGATGGAGGAGGCAGCGGCGGCAGCAGTCCACCACGAGGTGGTGGTGGTGGTGGCGGTGGTGCTTCCGGTGGATCCCAGGACGACGACCTTCCTGGAGTCTTGGACGAAACACTCCAAGTGGTTTTGGCCTCTGTGGGGTTCGTTCTTTTGGTGAGAAAAAGATTTCATCTTTTCCATTATGGTTTACTCTTAATTAGTGCATCCAATAGAAATATATCAATCAATGGCTTTCTGACTGCAGTACATTTATATCATCAATGGCGAGGACATGACTCGGATACTGAAGGACTACCTGAAGTATGTGTTTAGCGGGAACAAGAGTGTTCGTCTGGCAAAAGTGTTGGATCAGTGGCAAAGTTACCGCCAGAAGATGGCGGAGAAGACGGTGGTGGACAAGTTTTGGCTAGAAAGAGAGATCATCAACACCACGACTTGGTACGACAACCCAGATAAGTATCGACGCATCTATCGAGCCTATGTTCAGGCTGCAAATGATAATGACGATGAAAATGATGATAATGACGATGATGATGTTATTTACTACTAGTGCAGTTGTAAGTTTATGGAAATGTTTTGAGATGTAAGCATGTTTTTCCGTGCGACAGTCTTCATATATTTTTGCCAATGAGTTCAAATTGGGCTCTACCTATATTCCAATTATACTTTTGGCTCGAATGTGGACATGCCTGGAATTGTTTGGCTACCCGTTTATATGAACCAGGGACTATTTTGTGCCTGCAACAGAACAAGATCAATAATGGCAGTCTGGTACTGACTAGTGACTACTGAAGTTTCAGCTTCACAATAATCGTTAAGCTGGAAGCTGAAAAGTTAGCACTTTCGCTTTCTCTGCCATTCTTTAAAATATAAAAGCTGGGTACCCTTTATTGGCCCAACTTCTCTATTACTGTTTCACTATTTGTCGTCTAGCGAAAGGAGAAGTTAAACAGCCTCTTTATGTTGTTCTATTAACACCTCCATCTCTCCACTGTCGTGCCGTCCTTTCACCCGCGAATTGATCCTCCTTCGACTCAGGGACTCTGTCCTCCCACCCCTTTCCCAAATCTCGCCATCCCCGTGTGCTTTTCAATAGTACAACTCCTTCAACCCACTTCACATGCGACCCAATTCAGCACTCCAACGTCCACCTCTCCCTGTCATTCCTCTTTCCCAACACCCAATCTCCCATTCGATAGGTCTGGTCGATTCCGACGACGAGATTAGCTTTGTACAAAATCTCGCCATCACCCTTTTCCTCCGACCAAGATAATTTTCATCCCTAAAAATGACTGCTAGAAGTCAGGCATTAGGGGTGGGCATCGGTTCGGTTCGGTCTAAACCGAACCGAAATTGAGCATACCGGGTCCCCCGATCTCTCTACATGTGAAACCGAACTCGAACCGAAATATAAATCGGTTCGGTTTGGCCGAACCGAATTATATTTCGGTTCGGTTCGGGATCCCGACAAAACCGAAGTTCCACAACCTTCCCCTGCCTTCCTCTTTTCTTCCTCTGCCTTCCACTTTTTCTGTACGCTACTTCCTCTCTCTACCCAAAAGACATGCTTCCTCTTCCTCTTCCACCTCTCTCCATCTCTGCAACTTCTTCCACATTTTACCACCACCAACCCCTCCACTCTGGTCCTCTCTCTCTCCATCTCCCTCTCTCTTTCTCTCTACCCAATCCCTCTCTTTCTCTCTACAACGATTGACGACAACAGTTCTACCCAAAAGCAGCAACGACTGGCGATTGACAACGGCAGGCAGCAAGGCGGTGCACGATGTTGGCGGCAACGACGATGCACAACGCTGGCGGCAACGGCGATGCACGACGCTGGAGGCAACGGCGATGGATGTCGGCGATGGTGATGACCGACGATTAAGGTTAGATGTGAGTATGGGTCAGATCTAAACATGCATCAACTGTTTTGGGGTTTGCTTTTCTCCGTCGAGCTTCAATAGATCTTCTCTGTTTTCGATTTTAGGTGGAGAAGGGATTTGTCGCGGCGGAGAAGAGAGTGCGGTGAGCCATGGAAGAAGCACGGCGAGGACGGCTGTCGTGCTCTGCTCTGCTACCCCCGGCGCCGGCGGTGACTCATGGTGCAGAGATGGAGGGCGGCGACTCTCGACTCTCGAGACTCGAGTTGTTGTTGGGAGGCAGGCGTGGCGGCGACTGGAAATCAGTGATGGGAGGGCGGCGGCGACGGCGACTGAGGGTCGGGAGACGGAACGGAATGGAGTTTTGGCAGTGGAGTGGAGTGGAGAGACGAAGACGATCGATTCGAAGGAGACTGGCTGTTGGAGGGCGAGAGGCAGAGAGGGTTAGGGGTTGTTAGGGTTTGTTTCTTTTGGGTTGGGATTGGGTCCTTGGGAGGCTGGCTGCTGGGCTGGGTTTCTTCAATTGGGTTTGGGCTTGCAGCCCAGCCCTTGCCCCTTGGCCCATTACCAGCTTATACAACATTTCGGTTTACGGTTCGGAATTCGGAATTCGGTTTCGGGTGGTACCACCATGTATTCCGAAGTAGAAGGATTTTGCATCCGAATTCCGATCCGAAATGAAGGAAATTCGGTTTCGTTCGGTTCGGGGTCGGTTCGGTTCGGTTCGGAGAGTTAAAACCGGACCGAACGCCCACCCCTATCAGGCATGCTGGCCTCCCAGCTCTCCGCTTCATCAATCGTCGATGGTGACTGCATCTTTTTTTTTTATGGGGATTGCATCTAAGGTGCTCCATTTGACCAGAAAGTGACGGCGGGTAGATCTCAAGTCGTCGTCGATGGTAGCATAATGGATCAACACTCAACATCGTTGTGGTGTACCTCCGCCACCTGGACAAAGCCAAGAAAATCTACTCCTCCCCTGCCTCCACTCGCTATGCCCTGGACTTAAACGCCGCCGCGTAGCCCTACCTCAAAGCAGCAGTGAAGCCAAAGGAGCAAACTGTCCATGGAATGCTTATGATGGCAGTCATGAAGGAGGTTGTGCGCCCAGCAGATGAAGAAGAAGCATAGAGCAGAACTCTCTGACGTGGAGCCCTCCATCTACCCACAAAACCACCAACCGACCGAGAGAGGGAGGAAGCGAGGGAGAGCAGCAGGCACCCATCTCTGCATAAATTTATGTTCTTTTCTTGGTTTAATCTTCGTTTTTCGGAATTTGCTGGTTATAGTTCAGGGTTCGAAATTTCATTTGGGTGATTGGATTTCCAAGTAAAGAAAGGTGATTAAATTTATTTGACCAGAACAATCTGCATCTGTGAGATGGCAGGGAAGGGTACCTAGCAGCCGAGAAGACAAACTGGAGAGATAGGACGGGATGCTTCTATTCTAGCGTGCTGGGATGGAGAGAAAGAGGAAGGCGACTAAGTATATGGATGAGGTGTGAGCCTATTAATGGCTTTGATTTTGTAGGGTGGGAGTATTAGTTGCATTGACCAAAACAACCTGCATTTTATAGAATGGCAGCTACATTTGGAGCTAAAGTAGTTTCCTTTGGTGTTCTTGGAGAAGATGACTACGGTAAAATATCTCATGCACCCCACAACTTTTGTTGGCCATTCAATTTGTGCTACGCTATTTACAGAGCAATGTGGTGATAGGAGGCTCAAGTTTCATATTATGGCATTTACAGGTATGATTGGGACTGGATTTGGCCATTTTGGTTTTGCAGTCGAGGATGTAAGCTTCGATTATGGTATATAATGCTTTAATTCAGCCTCATTACTGCAATTTCCTACGGCCTAAGACTATGATTTCTCATCTCTTTGATCGATTCTGCATAACAGATTGACTAGATGCTGAACATTGTATTGGATCATCAAAACAACAATATTTGTCAAAGTAGAGTATGTGGGATGTTGTTGCTCAGTTTGGTAGTTTGAAAAGGTAAGTTTATTTTCTTTTATGCTTTTTTGCTCAGCTTCATAGTTAGTTGTTTCATTATCAAGACGGTTTTTGTATAACTTGTGGCTGTAGCATGAGAAAGAGAAAGGTGGGAGGGAGTTGAAGCAACAACAAGGACCTAACGAGACTAGGCAAGCGACGAAAGTGAGAAAGGTGAACATTTCAATTTGGTGACTCATTCTCTTGCTTTATTATGTTCTTTTTTATACTGTTGGTTTATAAATGACATTTTTTTCTCGCTTTTTCCAGTTGTAGGAAGATAGATGAACCCTTCAATCGAGAAAAGTGTCTACTCATCACCTGAGGCAACAGTAGAAGCCGAGGGAGGAGGTTGGATATGAGGTGTTTTTGCAGCAAGATAGGAAGCAGGGTTGATTGCACAGATGTTGCCCGTCGAACTGTGAATCCTCCTGCTGCATGACCTGTATTCTTTTATTCGTTAGCTTCTTTGTGGTATCTCTACTCTAGGGGATAGTTTATGGTATACTCGAAATTTGTTTGCAGGTTTCGAAGGAAAAAAATTGAGGATATTAGAGCACAAGTCGTTGGGCACACATGCACATCGTATGTGGATTTTGGTGGAAAAGAACACCTGAATCCTGGCAGCCCTTGACGACCATGAGATTTACAAGCTACCAAGGCGAGTCTCGGCTGACATAGTTTGGATTTTGTGAGGGTGTTTGTTGTTGCCTCTGAAGTTTCATTACCACGGTATGTTCAACCTGAAGTGTTCATTTTTACAGTTCAAGGATAAATTTGTGTGAGGGTGTTTGATCCTTGCTTCTTAACTTTTCTTCACTTAATTGAAAGGTGAGTTTCTGTGCAGTTAAGGTTTCTCATATTTAAACGTTCTGTTTTTCTCTTCACTAATCTGCAAGGCTTGAGCAGGAAGCATTCTAGGTTACAGTGTACGCTTTGCTATTTTCAGTTGTATCCACGTCTCGGCTCTTCAAATTCACTGGAAGCCCTCAATTTCATTTCCTTTTAATCGCTTCTATGCTTCTAGGTTTTGTAGGTCGCTAGTGGATGGATGTGAGTCAAAGAAGCAGACTAGGAGCTGCAATAGGGAACGGTGTGTAGTAATTAGAGCACAAGTCGTTGGGCACACATGCACATCATATGTGGATTTTGGTGGAAAAGAACACCTGAATCCTGGCAGCCCTTGACGACCATGAGATTTACAAGCTACTAAGGCGAGTCTCGGCTGACATAGTTTGGATTTTGTGAGGGTGTTTGTTGTTGCCTCTGAAGTTTCATTACCACGGTATGTTCAACCTGAAGTGTTCATTTTTACAGTTCAAGGATAAATTTGTGTGAGGGTGTTTGATCCTTCCTTCTTAACTTTTCTTCACTTAATTGAAATGTGAGTTTATGTGCAGTTAAGGTTTCTCATACTTAAACGTTGTGTTTTTCTCTTCACTAATCTGCAAGGCTTGAGCTGGAAGCATTCTAGGTTACAATGTACGCTTTGCTATTTTCAGTTGTATCCACGTCTAGGCTCTTCAGATTCACTGGAAGCCCTCAATTTCATTTCCTTTATGATGAGTCAAAGAAGCATACTAGGAGCTGCAACAGGGAACGGTGTGTAGTTATTAGAGCACAAGTCGTTGGGCACACATGCACATCATATGTGGATTTTGGTGGAAAAGAACACCTGAATCCTGGCAGCCCTTGACGACCATGAGATTTACAAGCTACTAAGGCGAGTCTCGGCTGACATAGTTTGGATTTTGTGAGGGTGTTTGTTGTTGCCTCTGAAGTTTCATTACCATGGTATGTTCAACCTGAAGTGTTCATTTTTACAGTTCAAGGATAAATTTGTGTGAGGGTGTTTGATCCTTGCTTCTTAACTTTTCTTCACTTAATTGAAAGGTGAGTTTATGTGCAGTTAAGGTTTCTCATACTTAAACGTTGTGTTTTTCTCTTCACTAATCTGCAAGGCTTGAGCTGGAAGCATTCTAGGTTACAGTGTACGCTTTGCTATTTTCATTTGTATCCACGTCTCGGCTCTTCAGATTCACTGGAAGCCCTCAATTTCATTTCCTTTTAATTGCTTCTATGCTTCTAGGTTTTGTAGGTCGTTGGTGGATGGATGTGAGTCAAAGAAGCAGACTAGGAGCTTCAACAGGGAACGGTGTGTAGTAATTAGAGCACAAGTCGTTGGGCACACATGCACATCATATGTGGATTTTGGTGGAAAAGAACACTTGAATCCTGACAGCCCTTGACGACCATGAGATTTACAAGCTACTAAGGCGAGTCTCGGCTGACATAGTTTGGATTTTGTGAGGGTGTTTGTTGTTGCCTCCGAAGTTTCATTACCACGGTATGTTCAACCTGAAGTGTTCATTTTTACAGTTCAAGGATAAATTTGTGTGAGGGTGTTTGATCCTTGCTTCTTAACTTTTCTTCACTTAATTGAAAGGTGAGTTTCTGTGTAGTTAAGGTTTCTCATACTTAAACGTTGTGTTTTTCTCTTCATTAATCTGCAAGGCTTGAGCTGGAAGCATTCTAGGTTACAGTGTACGCTTTGCTATTTTCAGTTGTATCCACGTCTCGGCTCTTCAGATTCACTGGAAGCCCTCAATTTCATTTCCTTTTAATTGCTTCTATGCTTCTAGGTTTTGTAGGTCGCTGGTGGATGGATGTGAGTCAAAGAAGCAGACTAGGAGCTGCAACAGGGAACGGTGTGTAGTAATTAGTATCTTTCAGTGGAAGAGAGTTGGTCTGTCGTGGACACTTCTCCAACGTGATTTTGCTTATGGAAAGTTGTGTTCTTTTAACATTTTAATTCTTTTAACTTCTCAGTTTTGTGTTCTTTTGGCATTTTAACATAGACCAGGAAACCGGATCGTACCGGCCTGTTCAACCGGAAATTGGACCAAAAGCGGTACGGTGGGCTGATTGTGCTGATTTTACCGTGTCGGCCGGTTTTTTCGGTTTGACCGGTTGATCCGGCCGGTATGATCCGGTTTCCTGGTCTACGATTCAGCTTCATTTCTCCGTATTCTCGTCCAATATGTGGAAAATAATTAAAAAGAATATTATTTTGCTATTTTTCTATGTTGAAAATGGGTCACCGTGGTTGTATAATGCTCTATTTGGTTCTTTTTTTGATGGATTATATTTTTTATACTATCACATTTCATTTCTCTACCAATAGTGAAAAACGGTATTTACCGGTACAAAACGGTTGAACCACGATCGTACCACAAAATACCATACCAGAAAGGAATCCGGTATGATGTCCGGTACGGTTTCCTTTACCATGCATTTTAATTCCTTTGAGATTAGTGGTATATTTTTCTTTATACACTTTTGCTTCTTTTCCCATGTTCCATGTAAGCTTCTGTTTCTGATCCAAAGTCATTGGTTTCCTTGGGGTACTCTTCAATGTTGAATATGTATTAGGTATGCTACATATTCTGTTGTGTGCTTATTGATTTGAGTGTTAATATCTTTCACTTCATGCATCAACGGTTATATTGTCAAATTTAGTTAGGGAACTCTTCAAATAATTTTATAGTTTGCCATCAAAGAAACTGGCCATCATATGAACATGTTGCTGCAAATTTAGTTACCACGGCGTAGCCGTGGGTATTGATTCTAGTGATAAGTAAAATGAGCATGATTTATAAGATGCACATTAGTGGGGGAAGATGGAGACCAGAATCGGACAAATAACAGATTCAACTCGATTTGATCTAATCTGATTCTGTTTCCAGCAATGCTTTTCTTAACTTTAGAACTGAAATCTTATTGAACTATACATCAATCCATCCAGCTTGCGATGTGCTCATGCATGGCTGGACGAGGGCAGAATTGGACAATAGCACATTCGACACGTTAAGATAATGATTAGATGCATGAACAGGCGTTTGACTCAGTTTGATCTGTTGTGATTCTAACTGATTATTTGTTGTGTTCAAGAGATCCAATTGAGTGAAGTCTTCAACTTTAACAACGAAATGACGCTGAATTATACATCAATCATTCTGGTCAGTAACTCAGTAGTGTCTCTAGCTATGGAAAGAAGCATCTCATGGTATCTCAACTATTGTCTTCATTCCTTATGTTCTTTATCCCCATTTCACCATGTGTTCTCTTCTCTTCTCACCACTCTCCCCACTAGTTTTTCTTTACATATTATCTGCTAATATGGAAACAACCTGCCTAAACTTCTAAGTTATACCTCCCCTGGTTAGTAAAAAAGGGGAGGAGAAACAGAAGGAAAAGCAGTAAAAGAGTCTGTGCCTAAAAGTGTCTCTCGGAAATAGATGTGGCAGATCTGTTTCCTTCCCGCTGTGCAATGCTTCTCTGAAAACTACTGTTACTTTAAGTTGCTTCTTGTCACTTCCCCAAAGATACTTCCATTTTCTGTCACAGTAAATCCAAATCTCCAATGTTCCTTTTTGTTTCATTGTAAGTAACAACCATCCATTCATCTTGCCAGCCGCTGCTGCCGGCCCATGGTGCCTCCTGTAATAATTGGTTTCTGTAGACTCAACAGAAGATTCTTCTTCTCTGGAAAGGAGAAGACCCAATTTTGACTGTCAGTTCTCCAGCTCAAGCTTGTAACTTTTTTTCCATTCGAACTCACATATTCAAGCAAATAAATGGAGAAGTAGCCTTTAGTCCTGGACTTACCCGACATTTAGACTCCCGCAAACCGTCTACCAACTGTGCAATCTCCACCTGCCTCACCACTGCAGAATGCAGCACCTGCAAGACAACAAAACAACTTCTGGACACGGCAAAGATTCTGCAACAAAAGAATGATCGATCAAGGGGCGTGATTGTACCCTCTTTGTTCTGTTGAGGTCAAGCTCCACAGATTTGATTCTGTCCAGAGATTGCATGAGGACTTTTTCTTTTTCTTTTGGAATCTGAGGTGGCTTGTTGCTCAGTTCCAAAACTAGTTTATCTAGTCTCAGGAGGCGCTCCATGCACGGGCGAACATGGTCTTCTTCCTTTGGCAGCTCAGGTTCAACAACCTTTAGATCAACATCACTAAGACTACTACTACATCCTACTCCCACAGTAGTTGATGGGCGAATGTCGTTGTTGTGCCTTCTCCAATAATCGAATGATAGGTGGCGGAAAATTGCAATTAGCTTGGCTAAAAACAATGCTAATGCTCTTGTTGCATGCATGACTTTCCCTTTTCCAAGCTTCTCTCCAGCAATGTTGAACCAACAAACTTCCCCTGCTATAAAAAAAAAGGAAAGTACCTTAGTTTCAGAAATTATGTAACTTCAGCTTATAACTACAGATCACTGACTTCGCCACAATCAAAGCAATCTGTATAGAAAAACCCTTAGAGGATTAGGGTTCTAGGAAGAAGAAGAGGAATAAGGCGGTATGATTGGGGGAACCCGCAAAGAGGGCTCTTGCTACTGCTTCTCATTATATACTGATCAAGCAGGGTAAAACTAAAACCAGAGTAAAGTTCTCAAACAGTAAAAATGGAAGTCTGTTAAAACTGAAAATCAAAACACAGTAATAAAACGATGCCAGGTGTTTTCATTCGGTTGGCCTTCTTCAACTCCACCCAACGGTAAGTAGAACCTCCACGACATCGCTTTGGATCTTCTCTCTGTCGGATGGAGTGTAAGGCAGAAACGTAGAAACGTTTCTGCCCTGTTGAGTCTGCAACTCTGCTTCTTCTTCATTCCTCAGACAATCTGATTGTCTCACATTCGAAATCAGCAGTGATTTCAATGGGCCAAACCGTATCCATTTAGCAGTTATGGAGATTCAGGAATCACCTGGAAACCAACAGGAGGAGAAGGCCCTCCACCGACTTTGATATCCTTGTACTGCAACCCAGACTCCGTACTCACCATCGGCACCTTCATATTCAAATCATTAGAATAAACCCATCAGCAACGATTTTATTCCCAAAATCCGTAAAACTACAATCGAACCTCTCTCTCTCTCTCAGCATACATTTTCAAGCTCCTTCTCGCAACTTTCACCGCACAGCTTGGGCTTATCCTCGGGCGGCAAACCAGCTCCTTCAGCCTCAGATCCACCGACAACTAGCCCCGCAGCTCCCAGAAGAAGCGCCCCAATCACATCCCTACGATTTGCGAGAGCGCAGGTTCTCGTCCGATTGAAATTGCGCTGCTGCTGCTGAGCTCCGCGGTGGAGCAGCAGCGGATCAAGCGGCCGCCGCCGAAAATCAACGGGGTCACGCAGGGAAGTGGATTACCTGATGAATTCGAATGCGAGATGATTTTAATTTTAATATTCAGGCAATGCGGCCTGTGTTCTGATTCCGACAAAGTTTTTGCGGAGGAAATTAATGGAATCGGAATTGCATTACCTCCTAGAGTTCGCGTGATGGAGCGAGGCAATACCGCCATTGTCATAGCTTTCCCCGAGCTTGAATCCCTTCGTCTTCCTATTCGTCTTCTGCTTCTTGTTACTGTTCTGCTTCTGCTGTCTTGGTTGCAGAAAAAATGAGAGGGGAAAACGGAAGGGGACGGAAGAGGCGGGACGAGGGATTCAGTAGCGCGAATTTGGAAGTGGATAAAAGGAAGAGAAATCTTTAAATTCTCAGTTCGCCACGTGGCTCCTTGACGTGGGTAGGCCCGTTCCCTATCCGGGCCAGGCAGGATCAGGATCAGGATCAGCTACTTAAAATTGTGGTTAACGGCCCAAATACTCTTAGTTGGGCTTGGTCTGTACAATTTTTTTCGTACGAAAAAGGGCCGAGGTTTCGAAAAGTCAGCGGCGGGAGCGGATTACATTACAGTACACCGTCGTGTTTGGCAACCACAGAGGGCAGGAAGAAGTGTGCCAAGATCGAGTCTCCAATTATTTTCTACTTCTCCTCCGACGAAAGCTTCTCCGGTGGATTCTAGTCTCTGATCATCTTCGGCATCGATTTCCGGCCAGGTTCTTCTCTCTTTCTCTCTTGTGTGCGTTTTCCTTTCCATTTCTGAAGTATGATCGTCGCCGGAGATGGACTCCTCGAGTTACGATTGAGTACATCGATTTTCAATTTTATCTGGATTAGTTCTTGTGAGCCAAACTTTATCTATAACCAAAACCGTTACGAGAGGTCCTTCTTTTAGTTTCTAGTTGACTGATCAAGAATTCTAATTCGGTAAATCGGAGAACAATTACCAATCCCATCTGAGTTTCGTGGACGAGCCTCCTTTATTATTTGTGCACAGGAGCTCGTTCTCAGTCTGTTCTTTCTTCTTCCGTTATCTGATCAAGAATATGAATCTGATTTGAACGATCAGCCATTCCAGAGTTGCAAGATGATACAAGATTTTGCTTCCTGAATCTATTTATTTAGAATGATTGAGTGATTGATCAGTAGTAGCAATATGACTTCCTCCAAGTATGGGTTTAATCAATGCTTGTTGAAGTGCTCTCTTACCTGGTCTATTTCATTATGTAGCTTGAGGTAGGTTGGAATCAGGACACATCTTCTATCCCGACTGTCTTGGTACGGTAGCAATGGAAGGTGATGTAGTGAAGGCTGAATCACCTAGAAGAGTATGGGTACCAGAAACAAAGATCGAGTCGAAAATGCTTGATGCCATGAAGCAGAGAGGAGCTGCGGGATGTTCCTTGAGATCATTCAACAGCATACTCTTGAAGTTCCCCAAGATTGACAATAGCTTAAAGAAATGCAAAGCCATCTTTGAGCAATTCGGTAGGTGTTCGGAAACCCTGCACATCAATGTCAAGCAATCGCTTATTGGTGTCAGAAGAATCACATTTAAATTCTTAGCATTAGTTTAAGCATGGACCGATAGTAATTTGTATATCTTCTTAGGTTCCCCCTTCAGTGTCAAAAGAACACATCCTTTGATAACATAGTTTCAAAGTTGGTTTGCCTGCCCAGGCGAGATTTTGTTTGTTAATTACTCCTAATGGGTTAGTCTTCATTGTATTGCTTTCTAGATTTGGACTCCAATGGCACCATTGATCATGAAGAGCTGAGAAAGTGCTTCAACAAGCTGGAAATCTCTTTCACTGAAGAGGAGATCAATGATCTCTTTGCGGCCTGCGATATTAATGACGACTATGGAATGAACTTCCATGAGTTCATAGTACTTCTGTGCCTGGTGTATCTTCTCAAGGCTGCTGCTGTTGCTGCTGATCCTAACGTATCCAGAACAAAGTGTTTAAATGCTTCGAGTTTGTGCCTAACTGCTTGTGTATTTCTCCCAAGTATTTTCTTTTTCTATTAGAGCATATAATTTCCATTTAGGCGTAGACTCTAACTTTTTCCAGGCCTTAGCATCTTAGCTTCCCAGGCACTAATAGTAGTAAACAAGTACCATTATTAGTGTTGCTTCCTGTGCCGATGTATTCCATGACCAATGCTAGAAACCGAAGATGGGGATGCCAAACTTGGAGGGTGCCTTCGAAACATTGGTCGATGCATTTGTGTTCTTCGACAAGAACATGGATGGCTACGTGAGCAAGAATGAGCTGATACAAGCTATACAGGACTCTGGGGAACGTGCTGCTGGACGAATAGCCTTGAAGAGATTTGGTAATTCTCTCCCTCCCTCTCTCCACATTGTTGGAAGCTTCATCGGAATATGGTTTTGAGTTGCTTTTAACTTTGAACATGATAATGGCAGAGGAGATGGACTGGGATAAAAATGGGATGGTGAACATCAAGGAGTTTCTGTTTGCTTTTACTAAGTGGGTTGGCATTGATGATGATGACGATGACGACGAAGATGATGATAATGCTAAGGATGATGAATGAAGGACAGAGATGCAAAGAATGCCTCTCTGCCTCCATGGTTCAGAAGAGCTACTTGCTGCTATCGATTACATGTAGCCGTGCAGTAATAATATAGTGATTGAGCTTGTAATGTAAATAGTCATCATCCATATCTATCTATCTTCGTCAGATGTTACTTCCATTTAGAGTTGTCAAAATTGAACCCGATCCGACTAACCCGCCCAATCCACCCGACCCACAACCAGTTCGTAACCCGATTTGACAGAAAGTCAACCACCCGAAGCCCGCCCGTAACCCGAAACCAATTACCTGTAATCTGATCAATCCATAACTCGATGAAATCGTTATCCGATCCAACCCATAACCCGGCCCATTTATAACCCAAATGATTCATAACCCAAATAACCTGTAACCGAACCCAACTCAATAACCCGAATCCCATTTGACCCGAATGCTTGTACAAAAATTCAATGTATACATTATTATACTTTTAAATTTACCAAGAAAGAACTGTCTCATAATAATTGAAAATTATTTGTACAATTGATGATATAAATTGAGGTTTTGTCTTAATATTTAATTTTTAAATAATAATATGTGAAATACCTTTCATTCATTTTTTATTTTATGAAATTCAAAGGATAAATTTTTGAAGATAAATAGGAAGAGTTAGACACAAATTAGTATCTCCACCACCCATAACTATATTAAAAAAATCAACCCCTGAAAATCAATGAAATCCCCAACATCAATGATCCTTATCAAGATATATAAGTGGATAGTTTACCTTTTTTACTTCATTTTCAACTTTTGACTGATTTTATTTATTTTTTATAAATTAATAAATCAATGATTCGAACTAGATGATAAGATCATATTTGAGCGAACTGTTGTTCGACCCATGAGTTTTAGGATGAGATGTTACCGTGAATATACAAAAAATTGTGAAGATATATAAGTGGGTGATTCGGAATGATGTTCATAAGTCTTCTTGAAAATAAAGAGACACACATCTAGCTCATACTATATTTAATTAAGACGATTCATATCAAGATGTATAAGCATATAGTTTACCTTTTTTACTTCATTCTCAAATTTTTACTGATTCAATTTTTTTTTATAAATTAACAAAATAAATAAAGTTACAATCTCTCACCATAAACAAAAAAATTATAACCAACAAGAAAGCTTTTATATACACTATTTTATTTATATTTAACTTTTATACTAACATAATAGATATTTAATTTGTATGTGTCAAATAGTATCATATTGTCATTTTCTTCAATTTTGTATCATTATCTCCAATTTATATTCATATATTGATAGTTTGTAAAACATTATTTTCTGTCAAGAAGTAAATGATCCAATGGGTTGACCCGAATAATCCATAATCTGACCTGACCGAACCCGAATTAACCCGCAACCAATAACCCCATAATTTGATGCACCCGTACACCGACCCGATCCGTAACCCAATTGACCAGCGACCTGATTGACTCGTAACCCAATTGACCCGCAACCCAATTGAACCCGATCCAAATTGAAATCGACCCGATTAAACTCGCAACCCGATTGAACCCAACCCAGTTAAACCCAATCCGAAGCTGACCCAACCCGCCCAATTGACACCTCTACTTCCATTCTTTGTACTATGTTGTCTCTCTTTGTTAAAACTTCACAGCGAGAGTACTAGAAATGCAATTAACCCTTTCTTTCCCTAACTGAAACGACGCCGATCAAAGTCGTTAATGAACCGCGCACAGGAATCCTTACTTCAGTTTCTAGTTCCCTCTCCCCGTCGCCGCTTCTAAGTTCTAAGTACTCCGTCGCCAGTCCGACTCTATTGTCCTCGCCAAGGTTGTCAACTCGTGGGTTGACCCGGACCCGGTCGAGCTAGTGGGTCAAAGGTTAATAGGTCACCCGTTTTAGCCCGAAAATATGAAAATAGTCATATCCTGATAAATTATATCAAATCTCATTTAACATATGAGTAATAACATATAACATTACACCAAAGTAACATTTCGTACTTAGATCCAACATATAGTAGAAATTTACACACACTTATATAACATCAATATTCAAATGTTCAACTAAGGATTCTAAAGATTGAGTTAGGCGAAAAGAAAAATCGGAAAATATGCGCATTTTGCAAACCAAAGAAAAAAATGACACAATTTGACCTCCAATCCGATACCTTATGGTGATCCACCCGACGGATGCGTACGGCCCGTTTTTCTCATCGGGTCAAGTTCAGGGTCGACCGGGGGCCGCGGGTTGACAACGTTGGTCCTCGCCCTTCCCGCATAGACACCAGCTACGAGTCTCGCGCCTCGCCTTTTCTTCTCCGACAGTCCTTCCGACCCTCTGGTTTCATCTCCGCTGCCTCTGCCGGCGATTCACTTTTCGACGGTGAAACAAATGAGGAGGTGAGGGTGCTTGTTTTCATGGTATATTGGCAAATTTGAATTATCCCTTCTTTGGGGTTGTTTGCTTCTCCATGGCTGACGGTTGAAGCTGTTCCTCGTCCTTTTGATTCGATAACATTGTTCGCCATGACCGAGCAATTCCGAGGACTACCGCTGGAGCCTTGGCCAGGGGCAGACCGACGGGCTGTGAATATGCCCATCATGTGTTTGATTCTTGGTTCTCTTCTTTGTCTTCAAGTGATCACTCTCCTCGTTCTAGCTCTAACGTCAATTTCGACTCTCGCCTTATGAAAAGACGCAGTTTTGATGATAATGGTAATGATCAGTCCAAGAGGTTGAGGCAAATGGGCGTTTCGGATGTTGGGGTTAGGGTGAATGAGGAACTTGAATCTGATTGCTCTGATGAGTTTGAAGAATCAGATGGAGATGGAAGAGATGATGATGACGATGATGAGAAAAGCTTTAAGGTTTTAGATTCCTTCAAAAGGGATCGTGAGCAAAAGCAAGAGACAATGAGAATTGAGCTAGGGGAACATGAACTTCGGCATCCATTGGTGAGGAAGTCTGCAGGCTGATTGATCTTAGGTCAGCTTGGAATCCCAAGATGGAAGAGGAACTGAAGCGTTTGCGCAGAAGCCTCAAGCCTCGACTAGTTTGTGCTGTTCTGCGATCTCAATCAGATGAGAGAGTTGCTTTAGGTTTCTTCTATTGGGCTGACCGTCAGTGGCGGTACAGGCACCAATCACCATGCTATTGTTTATTACGTGTTGCTTGAGATGCTCAGTAAAACTAAACTATGCCAAGGTGCGAGGAGGATAATCGTGCTCATGCTCACCGAGGTGTTGAAGGACAGCCTGAAGTGCTTAGTTATTTAATGAAATGATTTCATACAGTCGAGCTGGTAGGTCGAGGAATGCTATGCAGGTGTTGACGAGGATGCAGAAAGCTGGCATTGAACCTAACCTCCTGATATGTAACACCACTATCCATGTTTTGGTGTTGGCAAATAGGTTGGACAAAGCATTGAGGTTTATGGCAAGGATGCAACTTGTTGGGATCACTTCAGACGTTGTAACTTATAACACTTTGATCAAAGGTTACTGTGATGTCCACCGAGTTGAAGATGCTATGGAGCTGATAGCTGAAATGCCATTCAAAGGATGTCCTCATGACAAAGTGAGTTACTATACTGTCTTAATTATGAGGTAAGCCTATTCATGAATCAAGCTCGTGTTTCCTTTGGATGTGCTTCAACACCAATTGTTAAACTGCAAAGAAGAATGTACATTATAGTTGATGCCAATAACTTGAACTTTTGTGACTTACGAGGATGCTTCTTATTGGCCTATATCTGCTTATACTGTGACCTGAAATTATTCCTTGCTCTCTTCTTCTTAGGTAAATGAGATTGCTTGGGATATGACAGGAGGGATGTTCCTTATGACAACTGGGAATGGTAATAAGTAATAACGATTTTCTCAATGACCATTGCTAATTTCGCATTAAACAGTGCTCAGGTTATCTTATTGCTATGAGTTCTTTTTGGAAGGTACCGTTGAAGTGCTTGCATACCCAGCTCTTCGGCCAGTGGACACTCTTATGGCTCATACAGCTGGGTGCTATTGCATTGCCATTGATCCAAAAGGAAGGTCGAGTTCAGAAGTTTCAAAGTTCCAAACTTTAATGGCATATGAACTGCACGTGAGTCATAGAACCACTAACTTAAGTTCTTTGCTCACAGATATTTCGCAGTGGGGAGTGCTGATTCACTAGTCAGTCTTTGGGATATCTCAGAGATGCTTTGCGTCCGGACATTTACAAAGCTAGAGTGAGTTTGATTTGTCTTATTTGCAACTATTCCTTTTAGTGGCTTACTGTTAACTAACAACCAAACAAACAAACTAACTGGGGTGATAAACTATTTGTTGTCAACTCGATCAGGTGGCCTGTTAGGACAATAAGCTTAAACCACACTTTATCTTCAAACCGATTACCAATTTGTTTGTCTGGCCCTGCAATCCTTCAAAACAGTCCAATGCTCAAACCAGTGGGACAGTTCATCAAATCCCATGTCGAGCTGCCATGAACAGTGTCGAGTGGAACCCCAAGTACAATTTACTTGCATATGCTGGCAGTGGCAGTGTCCTCTTTTAAAAAATAAATTAAATACAAATAATTCTAAAATAATTAATAAATAATATTTAAATAAGAAATACTTTACTCATACAGTTTGAAAAAATTCACAATGTGTTTCATATTAAAAAATGATTGTAGAACACACTTGGGGTCTACACTATTCAAAAAAAAATTGTCTCTGTATATCATATTAGACAATCATTCACGAACTGATCACATATTCAATTTCTAAACTTGTTTGTGATGTAATCCAAAGTTGAAAAGACTCTTTCAATACTTGTTGTACAACCATAAATCAATACAAATTAAGGGTAGCTTGAAATTTGTTTAATTGTTAGATTTTGAAAATAATTAGAGATAGAGAATGACATTATACTATTACACAGTGTTTAAAATCGAATAACATATGAGTTGTAGCCTAATGAAAATTTTGTTTATTAATAATAAAAGTGTCCTAGGTTTGAATTACCCAAACTATGACTTATATTCTCATACTCAAACTAAAAGATGAGAGTAGGATAATCACTTTTTTAAATTTAGGGGGTGTCCCCGACTATCAATTATAATTTTTTTTGTCAATACGTAAATTACTACCGGGGGTTGGATAATCGTTTTCCCAAAATTTAGGGGTGTCCGGGGACACCCCTAAACAGCAGTGGGTCCGCCCCTGTATGCTGGGGATGACAAGAACAAATATCAAGCTGATGAAGGTGAATGATATCATAAATCCTCACTCAACTTGATTTTTCATGTTATTGCAGGTGTTTTCCGTATAAATATTGTCTCGTATGCATTTCACTTCAACTTGTAGTAGTATCAAGTTAATTATGACCAACAAGCTCTTAAATCCCAGTTGCTTGGAAGAATGAATGTAGTTAGTTTTATTGATGGATGAATGAAAGAAAGAATGGCAGTTCACACAAGCAGTGTGTGTGGCACAAGTACATGAAGTTCCCAAAGTAGGCAAGTCTCTTGAGACTAGTAGTAGCTGCATTCCTCCTGTCATCTCAATCTCCGAGTTCTGTCATAGTATTTGTTGCATGCATAACCATTAGACCAATTCTTTTGCATTCATATGGCAACGGACTATCATACGCTGCACCACATTTTGTGCACGATGTGTTATATCTTTTCTTGCTTCCCATCCTCATTCGTCACCAACACAAATCTGCACATTTCAACTACAGAAGAATCCAATATCAGATCTTCACCTCAAGGTAATGAAACCAGGCTACCTCGACAATATCTCAACAAATAAATCAATCAATCATTTTACCTCGAACCATCATCTTCTGTCGCCATGATTCCTCAGTTTTCCCCTGCTGTACTAATATCCGCCGCAAATAACTAATCTCGAAGCCAAAACGGCCAATCCGGCAAAGCAGCACAAACCGATTGCCACTGAGTTCTGAGAAACCCAAGTCACCGGCTTCCACTTAATCTCCACGCTCGAACTCTTCGTCTTCTTGCCACCAGCGCAGTAGGGATCTATCCCCAGCTCAAAGCTTCCTCCTTTCATCCTTAGTTCCTGAATACACCTCGCCACCACGCGGCCGTTGCACCGTTCCCTCCCCACTTTCTTCCACACCTTCCAGTACCTGTACAGCTGGACCTGCACCAACCACACAAACACGAGTGAGGTGCACAAGGAAACTACCCCTGGTACCCACCATTTCCCGCACTTCCTCTCTCCAGAAGAAGAAGTAAAGAGGATGGTGAAGAAGAGTCCGTGGAATATCAGGAAGAAGGAGCAGAGCTGGAAGATCTCCCGCTTGATAGAATCGAGTCGCGATTCCTTGGTGGCGATCCGTCGCCCGCTGAGATCCTCTTCCCTCTGCCACATCTTCAGGAGGAGTAAGTGGCCGGGGCTGCGGGAGATCTCCGTCAGCGGGTGGTTCTGGATCGCCGTTGCAACGACGACGAGCTGCCTCTGCTCATCATCGTCGACCGGGATCTCCACCACGTGATGAGATTCCGTCATTGTTAGAAGAGTAATGGAAAATGAACTGTAACTGAACTGAAAATATGGAAACAGAGTATAACACGAAGAGCAATGCAGAAAAAACAAGAAGAAAATGAATGAGCAGTAAGACTGGGGAACAGAAAGAAAGGAAGGAAGGCGAATTGAGAGATTGAGATTGAGATTGAGAATGAATCAATTGCTTGGTAATGGAGGGAAATAATGGAGGGGAAGTTTCAGGTATTTATAAATTGCTGGAAAAACCGCCTCTGATTCAACGGCTATTCCTTAACGGTAATATTGGTTTCTTCTTTTTATTTATTATTAGTTCGCGGGCCTTTAGGCTCCTGGATTCCCCAGGCAATGATTGGGCTTGGGCCCAATAAACCCAACCCAGGTTTGTGGGCTTGTTGTAAGTTGTAACATAATCAAAGTTTAGTGGCTCGGGAAACTCATAAAAGTTTAGCGGTTAAAATGAGCATCAACCCAATATATATATTTTTTTATAGGATAGCATTCTTAACCCATTTAATTATTCCACAATTTTCCTACCCTTTCGACGAGGATTCATCCATTTGGGAACCGGCAGCAATTTACCCGCGCTGGTTAGATCCTGTAGCTGCTGCCGCACCCCAAAAGTCTTCGCCGGTAGCGAGTCGTCGATGGATTCCCCCTCCCCCGGGGAAATCGCCGGTCAGCCGTCATCTCTTTCTTTCTTTTCCATTCACAGTTCTTTCTTGTTTAATAAGAAACATAACTGACCCAACCCACAAGCCAAAATAAGCTTAAAAAAACCCCACTCCAAAATCTACCTCGCGCTATAAATAAATACTCTCCCAGTTTCACTGCAGCAAAACATCAAACACCTTCCCTTCATTTTCTCCCAATTTCAATCCCTTGAATTCCGATTTCTCTGAATCCAGTTGTCGGGTTTGGAGAAAGTGATATGCATCTGTACAATGCATGGCTGCCGCCGCCGGTCGCGGAGGAGACGAAGAAGGAAGGGGAGGCCTTCTCCCGCGTCGTGAGCTCCATGCTGAGCTCGTACAAACCGGACGATCCTGATTCCGTCTACGCCACTATCAAATGGATTTCCGTCCTCGACGTGTGAGAGGAATTGTGGAATCGCTTCGGCTTCCATTTTGCTGATTTGACTTCGGTAATTGGCTATTTGTAATGGGGTTTCTGTTTAATTGTTTGCCTATCTTCTTCTTTTTCCAGCTTCGTCAAGGCTAAGAGCGACGTGGCCTTGGAAGATGTCACTGCCGTCGTGGAAATTGGGCTGGAGCTGTTCGGTGTCTCGCAGGACAAGCTTTATGCTCAGGTATCTCGATCATTTTGTGGCCATGTTCTCTTTTTCTATTCCTTCTGTTCTTTTACTTAGCTCTAGGCGTTTGCGAATTTTGCTTTGTTCAGGTTAGATGGGGGAATATCTTGGTGAGAGTGCTTAATAAGTATAGGAAGAAGTTGTCTCTGAAAATACAATGGCGCCCTTTGTACGATACTCTGGTCCACACTCATTTCTCAAGGTTTGTATATATTTTTTGGCAAGATGTTCTGAAAAATTGGGCGGAAAGTTTCAGTTGAACTGTGTATTTCCTACTTCCCGTACTTCACAAAAATTACGGTTTCATAACAGGAGTACTGGTCCAGAAGGGTGGAGGCTTAGGCAGCGACATTTCGAGACCGTCACTTCGCTTGTTAGATCATGCAGGAGGTTCTTTCCTGCTGGTTCAGCCTATGAGATTTGGTCTGAATTTAGGTGCGTGGATGGCATCTACTTTCAAATATTCCTGCTTTGTGGTTTCTTTCTTGCAGCTTAAGTAATACATGCTAATTTCATGTGTCCTCGATACTGGAAACTTAGCTAGTTTCACATGTTTATTTCGAATATGCACCGTTACTTATCTGCTGCCATTTGATTTCCCCACTGACACATCCTTTATACAGAAAGTTTCATGCTTGTTTAGGATAGTCTGTTGCTTCTTCCGTTCTCACTATATTAATGGATATACATAAAAGATAAATAAGACGATCTAGCTTTAACAATTTTTGAGCTCACTATCCTCCCTTTTCCATTGCGCAATACTGATAAATGGTCGAAGTCTTTGCAGTTCTCTAACGGAAAATCCGTGGCATAACTCATCCTTCGAAGGATCTGGATTCGTACGACTATTCCTCCCAACTAATTTGGAAAACCAGGATTTTTATACCAAGTAAGGACGGCTACTTTTGGGGTGTTATGATCCATTTTGACCACATTTATACGACAATCTTGAAGCCCATTCTTTCATGACAGTGATTGGGTGAGAAAGACTATGGAACTGTGGGAATCTTTACCAAATTGCCAATTCTGGAACAGCCAGTGGGCAGCTGTTATAGCTCGAGTCATAAAGAACTATGACTTCGTAGATTGGGAAGGCTTCTTACCTGTGCTATTCACTCGATACTTAAATATGTTTGAGGTAATTTTGCTTGGTACTTCAGTTCCTGCCCTGATATTGTAACCTAGTAGTTTTCGTGCTTTTGGGTTTACCACTGTTTATAGCTCGGCCTGCGTCTACACCTTCTTATATGGCATATGCAGTGAATGGGAGGTATCTGTTCCTTGGATTACTGTTTTGCTTAGGAATTTTACTTGGTTGCTTGAAGTTTCATTGAATCCGTGCCAATTTGTATGTATTGACAATCTATTGTGATAAGATTTTCATGGTCGTCTTTCCTTTTATTCTGTTTTCTATCCTCTGTAACTTTGATCATCTATATTCTTAGAATTTTGAATATTTGAACGTCTTCATGCAAATTTTCTGAAACTAACAGGTTCCAGTGGCGAATGGAAACGGATCATACCCCTTCCCTGTTGAGGTCCCTAGAAATACAAGATTCTTATTTTCGAATAGAACAATGACCCCAACAAAAGCTATTGCTAAATCAATTGTAAGATTGACAATCCTACTCCACAGTATTACTTTCATATATGTGTCTCTGTGTGCATTCTCATGTGCCACCTTCTATTTGGCCCCAATGCAGGTCTATCTACTGAAGCCTGGTAGTTCAACAGAAAAACACTTGGAGAAATTGGTCGACCTCTTAGAACAGTTTGTTTACCGCACTGTCAACTCACTACTGCCATCTCAAATCTGTGGATTTGTTGGTGCTTAGTTCATTGTTGTCTCTTTGTAGGTATTACCACCCATCTAATGGTGGCAGGTGGACTTATTCATTGGAGCGGTTCCTATTGTATTTGGTAATTACATTCCAAAAGCGCTTGCAGCATGAGCAATTGTAAGAATATATTGACATTGCTGTCTTATGTACTGTATGCATGGTATACTATATGTTTGAATCCTTCTTTGAAAACACTGGTGTTGCAGGAACAAAGATAACGATATATATGCTCACCTATTTCTGGGAAGACCAGAGAGGACGGCATTTGTCAAAATATTATTGAAATTAATTGATCGTGGACAGTACAGCAAGAATGAGAATCTCTCTGAGACTGTAGCTGCAGCAACTTCTATCCTATCCTATGTGGAACCCTCGCTAGTTCTACCATTCTTAACATCCCGATTCCATCTGGCCTTGGAGACGGTATGTATTGTAGCATGTATCTGTTGCCAGAATAACTTTTTTTTTTTCTGTAAAAGTTTACTGAATAATTGTGCTTCCTCTATCGGCATTTGAATTCTGTTTCTCATCACCTTAACCTTTGCATTTTGCCTACTTTTGTGTCTAGTCAGATGACTGCCACCCACCAGTTGAAAACTGCCGTGATGTCCGTGGCATTTACAGGACGCTCATTGTTCCTGACATCCTTGTCAGCCTCTGCCAAAGAGCTACACCTTGTTGGTGATAGTAACACATTCATGGATCTTCTGATGATTTCATTATCGAATGCATTACTTGGTATGGATGCTAATGATCCTCCCAAAACCTTGGCAACCATGCAGTTGATTGGTTCTATATTTTCTAATGTAAGTTGCCAGTCGATGAGTGCCTAAAGAGAAGTATTTCGTTTATACTGTCAACCAATGGACGCAATAATTGTGCACCGTTGTTTGCAGATTTCTACTTTGGATGATAGCATGGTTGACTCATCATTCATGCCAATGATTCAGATGTCTGAGTGGTTAGACGAGTTCTTGTGTCGGTTGTTCTCCTTACTTCAGCATTTGGAACCTAGCAGTGTCGTGTGAGTAGCAGGCTTCAGTTCTTCTGATCACCATGTTTTGCTTATCTTTAAGTCCGAATTTCAAGTTACACCTTCCCACTTTCCAGTGCCTGAGAACAATTAATCACATGTCTGCAGGAGTGAAGGTTTACACTCGGCAGCAACGTCAGGGACATTTTTAGTTGAGGATGGTCCTTATTACTATTGTATGCTTGAAATCTTGCTTGGAAGGCTTTCAAAATCACTGTACACTCAGGTTCAGTTCTTATCTCCATTTTCACATACTGTTAATTTCTCTAAATGATGTAGCTGTGGTTTTCATATCAGTTCCATGTTCTGTGACAGGCGTTGAAGAAAATTGCCAAGTTTGTAAGGACAAATATTCTTCCTGGTGCAATTGCTGAGGTTGGCTTGCTTTGCTGTGCATGTGTGCATTCGAACCCTGAGGAGGCCGTTTCTGCTCTTGTAGACCCTATGTTATCTGCTGTTATATCTTCCTTGAAAGGGACGCCAGCAACTGGATTTGGAGGAAGAGGAGTCCTTGAGACCTCAGTTTCGTCGAAGGTTCTGCATCTGTTTGCTGAATTCAGTTCTAATATTTCTTAGATGTTTTTTACCGAGTCTAGCATATTGAAGACCATTATATTTGTTGGTCAGATTTTATTCCTTCTCATCTAGAAGGAAAACTCTATTGGTTCTATATGACCAATGAGCGCGTTAAAAGTATCCTTTTTTTTGTAAATTTTTTTATGCACGAGGGTCGGCTATCTCCTATACACTAACTTAAGTATAATTCTTAATAAATATGATTCCTATTTTCAGGCAAAACCAACATTGTCTCCAGCTCTTGAAACATCAATTGATTGTCAATTGAAAATACTGTCAGTCGCAATCAATTACGGAGGCCCTGTCCTTCTACATTACAAGGATCAATTTCTAGAAGCTATAGCATCTGCCTTCGAATCTCCCTCTTGGAAGGTCTTGATTTTCTTCTAGCTAACTCTACTCCTGTGCATTTGTGAATTAGTTGAGCAATATGTTTGC